TAATTTTAAAAGATGATCATGATAATATTATATGGAAAACTAATAAATATTGTTTAGGATGTTTACTATTTGCTATTTTAACACTTGAAAATACTGGTGATCTAGTTGTTTCAAGTCATAAAGGTTCTTCAAAAACTATAATTTGGAATAATTAATTTGATATAAAATAAAATAAAATATAATTATATTATTAAAGGTTTTTATTATAACACTATAGCCTGTATATAGTGCAAATGATATTTATTTGTAGAATGGTGAGATTTAATGAGTTAAATTTTTGATAAAATTGACTTCTAATTTTATATTTTAGATCTGGATAAAGGTATGATGTTTAGTGGCTTCAATCTTCTAAAACATTATAAATAAAATTATTTTATTAAAATAAAAATATATTTCTTACTATGGCAGAACATAATATCTTATCAAGGACCTACAGTGTTCAATATAAAAGGTGGTTGTTTATTATATTATTTTATATTTTATACTATCATGTTTTTTGTACTTTTCCAAACCTCACATTCACTTAAAGCATTATTATTCATTATTTTTCTTTTCTTCTTTCCAAGGGATGATTAATCCAAAGAGATTTGGCTAGAGAATCTAGAGAGTAACCTCAATACTTGGCTATCTCTAATACTTTTTCACATGATAGCATTACTAGGCTTTTAAATGAGAATAAAGGATAGACTTTTATTTGTCCAACGAATTGAAGCACTTAATATCCACCAATTAATCTATGTTTGTGATGGTTTTTTTTCCTGTATGGAGCAGCAATCACATGTCAATAGTATTGGTGATCATGTTAAAGGACCTTTAAAGCTCCAGGCTCGAGAAAGTATAAAAGTCCTCAGATTTGACTTACATATGTGAGACTGAGTCCAGCATTCTCAATAGCCTCACCTAGAAAGAAAATGAGAAGGATGCATTCTAGAAGAAAATAATATGGAAAATAAGCAAAGCAAGCATAATTGTTTTGTTCATCACTGGAGAAAGAAATTAAGTACACATAAGGAAACACAAAGACTGTGTATTTGTTTCAAGAGGTGGTGTTTCTTAATAAATATATAAATATAAATAAGTAATATGTTTATAAAAATAAATATCCTTTAGCTTTTTACACTTCTAGGATACTACATAATCAAAGACCTCTGGCTAAAGCATGGATTGAATCTCTAGTTTACTATACTCTTATTATACACCATCCTCCCCTCTGGATGGTATAAAAGATTATATATATCTAATATAATAAGCCATCATGCAACTAGATCCATAGGGCAATACTTTGTGTCGATTGTAGAAGTCCTTGCAACCTTAGGAATGCTATAAATCAGCAGCCCTTGCTCACCAATCCATGTGCTATGTTCATTCCCCAAGACCATTTTGTTTTAATCCTCATTTTTCTACCTCAATTCTGAATTTTCATTTTTTTGATAAAAAAGTGCTTCCATTATTAAGTTTCATTAACAATCAAATAGTCTTATATATCTTTATATTCACCTCATAAAAACCATTAGTCACTATAGCCCATTCTACAGTTGCACACTTTGCCCTTTAACAATGTGACTGGATGGCTTTAAGGGTCATCAACACAGATGTTTAGTGAGATATATGTTCCTAACATTAATATAAATTATGTTCTCACTACATAATAAGGGATCTAGATCATCTATTTTCTCTTCTCGATATGCCTTATCATTAAGATAGATCTAACATTGGATCAGAAGGGTTAGTGATCTTATTCATATTGTGATGATTGATAAAATTATCAACCTTAATTAAAATGAATTTTATAATTATATATGTGAGTGCTTGGAATATAAGAATAGCCCCTGCTTATATACAAAAATGGATGGACTAGATTCAATCCCAAATGAACAATCAATATGCTATAGTACTATAATTAGTTATACACACATATATTTACAAACCTTATACTATCCTCCCCTCTAGAAGATGACAATAAGTTAAGTGGAACATTTGGAACTTTTGCTAAGCAATTACAAACTACTATAAAACCATTAACAAAGTTGTTGACAACTATGACTAAAACAAAACCCAAAGCCATGGCATAAATATTAGTTGATTACGAAATCCTGATACACCAATTGTAACTCCATGTGCAACTGCCAAATGTTTAAATCAATCATAAAGATATAACTTTGAACCAAAGTAAGGGACTTTGAGAACCACTGTAGTTTATAAAATGCTATTGTAGCAAACAATACATCTTGCCTTCAAAGTTGCTTGCTAATAATCCTCTGAAACAATTGTTAACTCAGACTCATAACTATAAGTAGAACCTGCCTCTATATCTTCTATTCGGTTAACATCTAACACTTATGTTAACTTAGATTTACAACTTTCGTCCTTATTTAACACTGCATATAGGAGGTTGCATTCACTCTATTCATCCTTCACATCCTTTTTATCCCCTTCTCGAGGGAAAAAAAATTTCTGAAGTACTAGCTCTATTTGGACTCACTACACTTGTCCTTACTTTATTATTTATATTCAACCTCACTTCACTATTGCATCTATGCAATTTCACTACGTCAAAATTGGATATTCCATTCAGACTCACTGTATTCATCTTCATTCCACATATTGTTTGTCCTTACGTCAAAATTGAATATTCCATTCGGACTCACTATATTCATCTTCATTCCACATATTGTTTGTCCTTACTTCACTATTGTATCCACTTGTTTTTACTCCATCATCAGGTTGAACTCCCATCCATCCTTTTTACCCCCTCCTCCGAAGAAAAAAAGCTTGAAATGTTAGAGAAAAAAGGAGAAAATGAGAAAAATTGAGGAAAAACTATTGTGGAAGAAGAAAAAGTGGATAAAGAAATATTGGAAGAAGAAGTTGCACTAGCTAACAATACAGAAATAAGGAAATCAAAAGAGGAATATATGCTTAAAACTTGGAAAATAAAAGACTTCCTATAATAAAATACTTCAGCCACTACAATATAAGTAAATAATTCATACCACTTAACCTCCTCAACATACAATTCAATACTTGAGATGGGAAAATTAATAATAATATCCACACTCTCAAGGGAATACATAAACTCTTTAACAATAATGGGCTCTTAACAACACTAATAAATGGGGACACAATTTAAAATTCTGGCCAAAGTGATTCCAACCCTTAGAACATGGGAATACTTAATACTAGAATTGATTAAAGACTTTGTCAACAAAACAAAAGAAAAATTCTCAACTTCATGCACATACTCAACATCTAGATTAGTATAAAACACTCAATTCAACACTAGACTAAAAATGAGAATCATAAGAGTAAAAAATAATTGATATGTTAGAAAAAAGAAATATTGCAAAGGAGGAAGGAACACTAAAAACATAAAAAAGTGGCTTAGGCCGAGAAATAAGAAAAGGTTGGGAAAGAGTAAAAGGTAAAAAAAAAAGATCATGTGGCAAATTAAAGAATTAACATCTACCCCTCAAAATCTTCATTTCATCTTTAAAGCTATTTTATAATAATCAAACTCATCATCACAATCCGAAATCCACTCAAGTTCATATATATTGTCTTTGTATAA